AGGAAAAATGAAGGAAAAAGGGGTAGGGAAAATGAAGCGGAGAGGCGGGAGGAAGAGAATGAGAGGAGGAGGGAAGGAGAAAGAAGAGGAGAAGAAGGAATGGAACAGGTTAAGGAGGGGGTGAGGAGAACACAGCAAACATCCTTTACAATATACATTATCTATACACAATAATACACCTATACATACCAATAGACATATACATAATACACTTACTTCACATTAGACATAAAGTATACATAGTTATACACTACACAGAACCGATACAGAATAATACAGGTAATATACATGAAAGAATACACATACTCTACCCCGAACAGATAATACAAAAATATACATTAAACCCTTAACAATATTCATACTGGTCATTAAATTTACTTCATACATATTAATACACATAATGAAATATACTAATACCCATTATATACAAAATTACACATACACACACACACACACACATGTATACTAAAACACGTGATATACATAATTAATACATATACTATATACTTCATTCATACATATTAATACATAGAACATTGATAACGCAATGAATTAAATCACCTGAAAAACACATGACTGATATATAAAAAAAAAAATAATATATTATTTTTGACAAATATTCTATTGCAGTTGACGTGTGATGGATGAGGTGTGTGTATGTTTGTATGAGAGGTATACATACATACATACATACATACATACATACACAGACAGACAGACAGATAGACAGATACATGCACTGACAGACAGACAGACAGACAGACAGACTATACACAAACTATTGACAGATACCTTCCCATGACAAACTTTAGTCAATTAAAATCTGAGTGACAATAGTACTCAGTTTAATTACGATATCGAGCGCTAATGAGTGACTGACTTATTAAAGAGGTAATTATCACCCTAATGAGAGACTTCCCCCCTCCACACTTTCACTAGATGTGGGCTAGTGGGGTTAGTGATCACTCTAGTCCGTCCTGGGAAACGAAATGGAGCTCAAGCGTTGTGTATCCTGGGTTTAGCCGAGTTACTTCTGTAGTGTTGTCCATCCTGGGAAATAATAACAGTGAGGGATTGATTGATTGATTGTTTGATTGATTGATTGATTGATTGATTGATTGATTGATTGATTGATTGATTGAGGAATAAGCCTGTATAAAAAAAGACAAATAAATTCAAATATAAACAACAAAAACAGATAAATATTGTTTGTGCTGCCATTTTTGTTTACATATTTACGTCTATTTTCGTAAATAAAACCATCCAGGTATATTCAGACGTAAATTCACATAGTGTAATAACAGGCAATTAATTAAACCTGAACAAAATGAGTCTAGGTGGGTTTTTTTCGATGTTTTTTTTTTGTTTTGGTTTTTTGTTTTTTGCTGCATATTTATACATTCAACTTTCGTTTTTGTCCGCGTTATACTCAGTCATAACTGTATGTATGTATGTATGTATGTATGTATGTATGTATGTATGTATGTCCTGTAATGGGGAAGGGGTGATGACGTCATGATTGTGTAAGTATAAGGTATAAGGGATTTGATTTAAATGTATAGAGTAAGTAAAGATGGGAAAATATATATGAACTAAAAATTAAAATACTTTATTAAAAAAAAATCATATAAATGCAGTTAAGTGAAAAGAAATTCTTACAAAAATTCGATCTAAATTTCGTAAAAAAAAAAAATTCATTGTTTGGGAATAGATTAAGTTTTAGTCTTTCGTGGACAAGCAAACGTTAAATTATCAACAACCATTAATATAAGCTTGAGCATTATTACAACAGTTGTGTTTACCAGCCACCACAAGCTCGCCTGAAAATAACATATTGTTCAGTTATGATACTATTTACACGGGAGTCCAAATCATCGTGTTTGTTGACGTTCTGAGGTAAAGCTTCCGTTTGTGTTGACACCTGAGGGATGTGATGTATAAAATAAACATTATCATAATCTACATCCCGCTGTAGTGTGTGTTGTGTGGATTTTTAGTTAACTCATATTTTGTATTTCAACGAGATTTTTTGGTTCTCGTGGTGCAGTATCTGGCAGAAGAATAGTCACGGCAAATTTGCAGTGAAAGGAAAAAATAGTCATGTCAACTTTTCGTGCTGGGGAATTAATCACGCAAGTTTTATGTTGTCGGGGAAGGTTAGCGAGGCTAGTTATACTCTCCCCGGTGGTGAGAGAATGGCGACGCAGCTTAACTCCTGTAGCACCACCCTCCCAATGATCACGTCACCATGGCTTCGTTGGCCGCCTCCACACCACAAAATCTCCCCTCCGATGTAATTGCATTTAATTTCTCCTTCGTGATGCTTCCTCACCGTTCTCAGTGGGCAAAGACGCCTTGGCTCTCTGACGTCACTCTCTTTGTTGACCGAGGTGCATTGTGGGAAATAATTGAAGGGAGCCCTGATGTAAAAGACAGCCCACACCCGCCCTGCAAAACTCGCTCTATGAATTGCTATTTGATACGAACTTCGGAACCTCTCAACGACTCCAATATCACCTCGGGTAATATTTTCATCTCATAAAAAAATGGTTTAATACACAGGGCGAAGAAATAAATAGCGGGAGAAGTAATAACACAGAAGCATTGGAGGAAATAAGTCAGAGGAGACGAGAGCTCACTAATGGCGGTGTGGCGTGACGCGGACCACCACCACCACCAGCCACCATGACACGACCCCCACCCCTCCCACCTCCCACCTGCAACACTTTCTCTACCTGCTGCAACACTTTCACTACCTGCTACAACACTTTCACTACCTGCTACAACACTTTCACTACTTGCTGCAACACTTTTACTACTTGCTGCAACACTTTTACTACTTGCTGCACTTATGCCAACTTACTTTCACTACTTGCTTTCTGTGCTTTCTCCTGCCTACAACTTTCACTATATGCAACCTTTCTTTCTATAACTGCCTTACTTTTTACTACCTGCTGCAACCTTTCACTACTATAACTTAAACACTCTGCAACTTCTGTAACCACTTTCACTACTTACCCAACACTTTCCTTTCTTATATAACGCTTTCACTATAACTCCAACACTTTCACTACTATAACAGCCTCACCTTAACTGCCTTACTTTCACTATAACGCAACTTACTTTTCACTATAACAACACTTTCACTATATAACAACACTTTCACTACCCATAACTCTGTACTTTCACTACTTGCTGCAAACACTTTTTATATAACAGCCTTTCATAACATAACGCAACAAGCTTTCACCGCAACCCTGGCCAACACTTTCACTGCTATAACGCGGCTTACTTTCACTACTTGTATGACACTTTCTTTTTCTATAACAACCTTTTCTTTCCTTATAACGCAACCTTTCTCCTGTCATGTGAAACACTTTCTTTATAACCGCGAAACACTTTCATAGCATACGGCAGCACCGCCTATATATGGCTTAGCTTTGCTATAACGCAACTTTTTGCTACCTGTACTGACAGCTTTCACTATATAACATGACAGCACGCACTACCATAACGCAGCAAAAAACTCTTTCTTATAACGCAACACTTTCGCCATATTCTATTAACTGGCTTTCGCTATAACGAAACTAGCTTTCACTAGCACAACATGACAGCTTTCACTTATAACAACGACACTTTCTTTCTATAATATGACACTTTCACTTCAACACAACAGCCTTTCTTTCTTTAACAACCTTTCACTGCCTCAACAATGACAGCACTCACCACCTTCTGCAACACTTTCACCACCATATGCAACACTTTCACCTATTCTGGCTTTTCTGTCTGCAACACTTTCACTACTATTCATAATAACCGCTTTCTCTGCAACTAAACACTTTCCTTTCTATATAACTGCAACCTTTCACTATAACAACATTTTCCACCTGTGTAACCACTTTCTACCTTCTGCATACTTTCACTACTATTCTGCAACACGCTTTCACTACTATTCTGCAACTTGCTTTCACCTACCTTAACTGCAACAGCTTCCACTACCTTCTGCAACACTTTCACCACCCAGCTTCTGCAACACTCACTGCCTTTGTAACCTTTCTCCACCTTCTGCAACACTTTCCGCAACCCTGGCTTACTTTCGCTACCTAACGAACAGCTCATGCAACCCTGCAGCTTACTTTCACCACATTCTGCAACTTACTTTCACCGCAACCTATTCAACCTTTCACTATAACAATGCTCGCCTATAACACAACCTTTCTGCTATTCTGCAAACCTTTCACCATATTCTTATGACACTTTCGCCGCAGCCTACTTATGACCTTACACTGCAATGTAACACTTTCACTGCACCTTAACCGCGAGCAGCTACTACTGTTCTTGACACTTTCCATATTCAATTAACTAGCTCACTACTATAACCGCGACACTTATTCACCACCTTCTGCGGCAACTCGCCACTTATAACTGCTGAACGCCGCTACTTATTCTTACCAGCAACTTTCACTACTATTCTGCTGACACTTTCATGCAATTCTGTGAATCTTCCACTACTTATTCTCTTGACAGCACTCACCTATAACAACACTTTCACCGCAACCCTACTTGCAACCTTTCACCACCCAGCTTCTGCGAAAACGCTTTCTGCAACTCTGCAACACTTACACTACTATTCTGCTGTGCTTTCACTACTATAACTTATGACTTGCTTCCACTATTCTGTACTCACCTATTCAGTGGCTGCTTTCACTATATAACGCGACACTTATTCTGCACCAATATATGACACTTTCACCACCTGCTGCCAACACTTACACTACCTTCTACCTTGCCACTTTCACTACCTTCTGCAACACTTTCACCACCTTCTGTAATACTTCCACTACCTTCTGCAACACTTTCACCACCTTCTGCAACACTTTCACTACCTGCTGCAACACTTCCACTAGCTGCTGCAACACTTTCACCACCTGCTGCAACACACTCACTCCTACAGCATTCTCTTTTCTTCTGCATCTCTCACTGCTTCCGCAACATTCTCAATGGTTCTGCAACACTGCCACGCTGCAAACTCTCCCACTACACCAGCAGACTCTCCCACTACACCAGCAGACTCTCACACTACACCAGCAGACTCTCCCACTACACCCGGGCTCTCCCACTACACCAGCAGACTCTCACACTACACCAGCAGACTCTCACACTACACCAGCAGACTCTCTCCCACTACACCAGCAGACTCTCCCACTACACCAGCAGACTCTCCCACTACACCAGCAGGCTCTCCCACTACACCAGCAGACTCTCACACTACCAGCAGACTCTCCCACTACACCAGCAGACTCTCCCACTACACCCAGCAGACTCTCCCACTACACCAGCAGACTCTCACACTGCACCAACAGGCTCTCCCACTACACCAGCAGACTCTCCCACTACACCCAGCAGACTCTCTCCCACTACACCAGCAGACTCTCCCACTACACCAGCAGACTCTCCCACTACACCAGCAGACTCTCTGCACCAGCAGACTCTCCCACTACACCAGCAGACTCTCCCACTACACCAGCAGACTCTCACACTACACCAGCAGACTCTCCCACTACACCAGCAGACTCTCACAAGACTCTCATCCACTTATACAGAGATATATTATCTTCCCCAACAGCAGACAGACGTTGCCTCCCTCCCATGCAGATATGGTTGTATCTACTGTACTGCCTCCTACAAGCACTACCTGACATGCAAACTTCTTCTTCCTTTCCTCCAGACAAGCAATACTCTCTCTCTCTCTCTCTCTCTCTCTCTCTCTCTCTCTCTCTCTCTCTCTCTCTCTCTCTCTCTCCTGCGTCTCCTGCGTCTCACCTGGCCATTACCCAGAACTGAGTTAGTGCGTCAGTGGGTGGGAAGCACCACCTGGTATTGTTAGTGTCGCGGTGCTGGGGAAGTGGCGGGGACACTACCCATTTATATTAAGGCCGGTGTGTGTGTGTGTGTGTGTGTGTGTGTGTGTGTGTGTGTGTGTGTGTGTGTGTGTGTGTGTGTGTGTGTGTGTGTGTGTGTGTGTGTGTGTGTGTTTTGCTTTCAGGTCAAACAACAACTTTAACCTCTTACTTTCTTCCTCGTGAAAGTCTTGCTGTCTACCGTCCTGTGTAATCTCCTGTCTTTTGGCTGGAGAAACTCTTTATAATAAAAAGTAATAACAGTAATAATAATAATAATAGTCGCTGTAATAATAGTAATAATGATAATAATACCATATCATAAATCGTCTATTTTTCCACCAGCAATACATTCAGTTTTAAGTAATAATTCGCGAGTCAAAAAAAAAAAAAAATACCTTACCTGAGAAATTACAATTTTATGAGCGTAAGTTATAATTTGCATGATGTCAAATTTCTGGTTACATCACGATTTCATTTTGGTTCTACCTGGATAAACTAGCGAACTGTCTATTACTGTGGAGAGCTTGTTCACGCCACGGTACAGCACGGCGTCTGTCTGTCTGTTTCTCTGTCTGTATGTCTGTATGTCTGTCTGTCTGTATGTATGTGTGTATGTGTTTGCTTCTGGTTGTATTTATTTTTTAGTATGTGTGTGTGTGTGTGTGTGTGTGTGTGCACGCAGGGGGCTATTGTCTCCCATACTCTCTCTTTCACTCTCCCCTTCTGACTGTCAATTCTTTCTGTCTATATGTCTATCTGTCTGTCTGTCTTCCTGAATCTCTGTCATTTTTCTTTATATTCCACCTCCTGACAGCCACTAAGTAAACAAACAGTCACCATCAAACTCTGCCGCCATTTTTTCCTCCTCTCCTCCCAATTATATTTTTTTCACCCAGGTAGAACAGGTTAAAGGTTCATCTTACGTCATAGGAGAAATATTCACCTTACGAACCCCTATGAAACACCTGGTTGGGGTTCCTTGTGTGAGCCGATGCGAGTCTTAAAGGCTCCTGTGGTGAACTCAACTTGTATACAAAGGCTTATTTCGTGCAGTCAAAAAAAATATATTTATATCTTTACTTAGGGGGGGGGGAGTCGATGAATTTCAGAATGAACATTGTGAATCCTGTTGTCTCGGTAAGGTTGTATATCTCCTCCTTTATATTAGAATTTGTAAGGGTTTAAAATTCAAATGATAGGAAAGGCTTATATCACCTAAATAATAATAATGATGATGATGATAATAAATCAGAAGACGAGACGACGAGAAGAATTTTAATAATGCAACGCCTCGTCTCTCCCCTTCCTTCCTTCCTTCTTTCCTTCCTTCCTTCAAAAAACAAAAGGAAAAAAAATAAGAAAAAAAATGGAAAATATAAAGCTGAGGGAAAAAGTCAAATGCAAAAATCCCAGTTAATTCTCACATTCCTGCCATTACCATTCTTTTACATTGAGCGTCTGCCCCAGCCATCTCCACTGAATTGTCTGGGGTCTACACCACGCCACGGTATTGGGCCATAAAGGGCCAGGTGGGAGGTAAATGTGACATGGTTTAGAGGTGAGGAGAAATGAGAGAGAGTGAGAGCAAGAGGGGAGGAGGAGGAGGTTAGGAAGAAGAGAGAGGAAGGAGTAAGGAGGAATAAAAGAAAGAACGAGATAAGGTGAAAGAGAGATGGGGGAGGGGAAGGGGAGGAGAGACAGGCTCGTTTGGAAATAAAGGGAGAATAAAAGAGAGAAAAGGAAGAGAGGAGAATTTGGAGATGGATATAAGGTGAGACATAGCTTGTAGATAAATGAGAGACAAATTAGAAGTAGAGATTGAGAGACAGGTAAGACGGGGAGAGGATTTAGAGACAGGAGATGGGGAGAGGATTTAGAGACTGGTAAGATGGGGAGAGGATTTAGAGACAGGAGATGGGGAGAGAGGATGAGGTTGGGAGAGACAGGGAAGGGATGTGGGGAGAGGATTTAGACAGACAGGAGATGGGGAGAGGATTTAGAGACAGGTAGAGAGAGGATTTAGAGACAAGTAGATGGGAAGGATTTAGAGATAAGATGGGAGAGGATTTAGAGAGAGGAAGATGGGGAGAGTGATTGAGACAGGTAAGACGGTGAGAGGATTTAGAGACAAGATAAGACGGGGAGAGGATTTATAGACAGGATATGGGGAGAGGATTTAGAGATAAGCAAGATGGAGAGAGGATTTAGAGAGAGATAAGATGGGAGGATTTAGAGGACAGATAAGATGGGGAGAGGATTTATAGACAGGATATGGGAGAGGATTTAGAGACAGGAGATGGGGAGAGGATTTAGAGACAGGTAAGATGGGGAGAGGATTTAGAGACAGGTAAGACGGGGAGAGGATTTAGACAGGTAAGACGGGGAGAGAATTTAGAGACAGGTGTAAAGGATTAGAGAAAATGAATTTGGAGAAAGGCGAGATTGTAGGAAGAAAGTATGAAGAAATAATTGGAGGCAAGAATGGAGATAAATTGGGAGATATATTTGGAGATAAATTTAAATACGCCCTTGGAGAGAGGAATTAAACACACACACACACACACACACACACACTTTTGGAGAGAGAAAAACTTACACCTATGGACGTCAATTTATCAGGAGGTGGTATCTGCGATCGCTTTTGGAGGCAACGTTAATAAATAAGACTTTTGGAGGCGGATGTCTGTGGCAAGTGTTGGAAGTTAGGGTAAAATTAAACTCCAGGCGGCCATCTGTCTGCGTCTGACGATCAAATGGGAGCCATCAATCGTGTGTTGGTCGGTTGTATCTGCAAGAGTTCTGTCATTCGTTCGCTCGCACACACCAATTTCTGTGCCTCACTGGATACGACTTTGTGGGAAGGTGAAGTGGGGGGGGGAGAGGGGAGGGGAGAAGTATTGGACCTTGTTATGTTCTTGTTCGTTATGTGTGTGTTCCTTCTGTTGACTACGTACGTCTTTCTGTACGTTATATGCGTCTGTTGGTCCGTTTAGTACATTTATCTTTCTGTTACGTACGTCCTACTACCCGTTACATACGACCGGCAGTAACACCCGTGAGTAGATAATCAAGTTTAATTTTCTCAAGTACTATTGTCCATACGATCAAGAATCAGCTTGGCTTACACTTCAACCGGCTTGATGAGGACCACAAACTTAAGCTTGAACGTAGTGACACTTTGACTCGTATATATATTGTCAATTTTTAACCTTCATTGACCATTGAAAGACTATTTTTCCTACTTTTTTTTCGCGGGCATCAATTTTCAGTGTTTTTATTTTTCATTTCAACAACATTACTATTTTTTTTTTCCATACACCAAAAACACTGAAGCCTTCCTCTGCAATTTTCCATCCAATTTTTTTACTGGATCTCTGACAAGTTATTTGTGTACAAAATGGGATACAGTTTACCACAAAATTCAATCAGATTTTCATTGTTTTCCGCCGGGGGACCGTGGGCTATACTATGGGTCGATATTGTGGGTGTGATACAGAGGACCACATTTGCTGTATACATAACCTAACCTAACCCATATACCGTGGGTAGATTGTGTGTGTGTGTGTGTGAGATAGGTAGATCCGCGTTGGGTGTATACAGGCCACTATCAAGTCACCATCTCTTCTCCACCTTCTCCATGTCACCACCACCTCAATCTCCCCACCTCCTCACCTCCCTCTCCCACATCCTCGTCACCACACCACCACCACTTCCTCATTACCCCCAACACCACCACATCACACCAACACCACGACCTCTGTACCTCTACCACCACGCGCCACCGTATACTATAAATCCATACGTGGAAAATTAATTTATAAAGGACAGGTAGGCATCAAGGTAATGCCATCGCTGTTGTATAAGAAACCATTATACTGGAAGGAAAGATGAAAGTCAATATCCTAAAGATGAGAAATATATGATTGTAAACGATGAAAAAAGGACGAAAAAGTATAATTTTGTTTCCTTTTTTCTTGTGTTTTTTGGGGGAAGAAAATAGGACATCTCCAAAAACTATGTAACACATTATTTTTTTGTATTTGATCCTCTAGAGACAATTTGCCTTCCAAGGACAATAAGGAAATTTAAGCAACATACAAAATATTGACAAATTTATATAAATACATATTCAATAAGACAACAATAGAACACACACATTGACATGGGGAGTTATCCACACATCAACAGTGGATATTTCTATAACAGTCTAACTAGTATATCATCGTTGACAGGGTAGCTAACTCACCTCAGAATCCTTAAGTTGAAACGAAAAAGTAGAATATAAATGAGCAAAAATCGACATTAAATTTCATACAGCAAGATACCTTCAGACCTGTCCATTCAACATGTATTTACCTGAGAATCCAAAGTCAAGACGAAGGTATCTGACAATTTATGCATTAAGGAAACTCACAAATTCTAAAAAAAAAATAAAAATATAAAAACCCCATAAACTTACCTCATACCCAAGTCATGTTTTGTCCTCCCTTCACTCATTGTACATTTATATCCGTCCATCTTGAGTCCTTGCTCGTGCTTGACTGATAAGAGTAGCCTATGAAGCTCTCAGGACGCATTCTAGTCAAGTCTGTTCTCTATTTAGTTTTCTTCTTAGGGACGAGAGGAGGAGAAGGGTGAGTGAAGAGGAGGGGCACTTTATCCTGGAGTGTGTTAGGCTAATTTAAAAAGCAAACTCTAGAATTCTCTCTCTCTCTCTCTCTCTCTCTCTCTCTCTCTCTCTCTCTCTCTGTTTTTAAGAGAGTATCCGTTTTCTGGAGAGCCATCGTGGTTGAGTG